ACCGCCGCCGCCGTGCACCGCCGGGCCCGGCGCTGCTCCTCCTCCTCGCTGCTGGACGAGGAGTGCGTCTACTTCTGCCACCTCGACATCATCTGGATCAACACCCCCGAGTGAGTGAGTGGAGCGGCGAGGCTTCGGCAGTCGCTGAGTGCTGGGCTCTGCTTCGCTTGGGAAACGGGCACCGGTGGGGGAGAGGGAAAAATTAAGAACCACGCACACCCCTTGCAGAAATGGGAAGGGGAGGAAAGAATAGATATTTGCACGCTCTCTCTTATTGCTTTCCCCCTACCCCTTGCTTTTCTGCTGGGTTTAGCAGTGAGACGAAGCGCTAGGAGAAAGCAAGCAGGGTTTGGCCACCTAGATTGAGCAGATAGCTCCTAATAGCCCTAACACACCTGCGCTCCTAAAATCTGGGCAGAAGGATTTCCTCTGAGTGCTGCTCCGCAAAGGCTGCAGGATGCTTTTCACTATGAATCAGAAGCGAACGAAATGCCAGAAGTATGATTTTGCCAGCCTGAATTTGTCTGACCGTTTTTCTTTCTGACAAGTTAGGAGGCTAGAAGGCTCATTTTGACACAGGGTGGCTCCTCGCTGCCTCTTGCTGCTCTCTGCTGCAAATTAACGCATCGCACATGTTAATAGGGTTGCATACAGTGTCCATTTCTATGCTCTCCTCACCAGAAAGTAGCAAGCCAGAGCCTCACCTAACGCTGCAAACACTGACTCTGGTGGTTTGCTCTGCTCCTGGGCTTCCTCCGAGCAGAGAGGATCTGTTCCTTGCTTTTACTGCTGTTTTCAGTGTTGGCACTTACCAAAGTTCAAAGAGATGAGGTTTTATTGCGTTCTATTGCACAGGGAGGCATAGCAGCCTTATGAAATCACAATTAAAAGGTCATTAGCCTTGTCAGTAGCCAGGCTAATGAATATGTTGCAGGATCATTAGAAGCATTTGCATTGGAAACTATGACCGGGGAGGCATTCCCAATCCCACAACCTTTACTCATGCAATCAATCCCATTGATAAGATTGCCCCAAATACCCCGCTGTTTGGAAGCTGCAGAACTGTTTGAATGACTTTCATGTTGTCTCTCTGATTGTAGGAAGACCGTTCCCTATGGTCTCGGAGGCCCTTCTCGATCCAGAAGATCGCTGAAGGACATGGTGCCGGAGACGCTCGCTGAACCTCGCAGCAGATGCCAATGTGCCAACCAGAAGGACAAGAAATGTCTGAGCTTCTGCCAGACAGGAAAAGATCTCTGGTGCGTCTAATTGTTGTTACTCTTTAAAAGGCAGGGCATGTGAAAGGGATGGACTGTGGTAGACTTGCTCATTTTGGCACTTGCTGGGCCAATAATCTCCCCAAAGCCTCGCCTCCTACCTGAGCGCTCACGCTGCGATGATGCATACTATGGTTTGGCCCAGAAAGGTCGCTTATTACCTGCCTTGAGAAGTGGTTGAAGAGATGCCTCACCTTGTGGACTGCAGGCTTGTTTTAACAGCAGCGCCTTTTCACTTTTAACAGGGCTCAGTCCACAGTGGAAAAAACCTCGCGCCACCGCAGCAAAGCTGGCAGTTGCATTGGACCCAAATGCATGAACCGGCAGCTTGTTGACAGCAAGAAAATGAAGCGGTGAGTTTCTTCTTATCCTGTTGTAGTTCCCCGGAGTAGCAATAGAGAGCACAGTTCACCTGCCTTCGGGACAGCGTGGGCTCAGCTGGTGATTTCAGCTTGAGGGTTACGGTGGCATCAGTGAGGGCATCTTGAGGGCTTATTTTTCACGTAGTGGGGTTTTAGCCTGTGAAGACACGGGTGCTGAGCTCTGCCTAGCATCCTCCGTTTGCTTAGAGGAAGCAGGCTTCGTTGCAGGCCAAAAGAGGCACCAACCTTCAGAAGAGTATAAAATCATGAAATACTGACGGAAGTAAATAGAGCCTGGCAGTATAGTGTGTTCATGTGCTATCTTAACCACTTAAAATTATTACGTCCCAACTATTCTAGTATGAAATTGAATCAGAATGCCTTTTCCTAGATACTTTACTCCATTTTACTGGAGGGTAAAAAAAAATATTATTCATCTATCCACATTTTGAAGATACTGTTTCTTCTGGCTGGTGTGGCTGGCTTTTTAGAATGCAGGAGGTGGGTTTCTACCTGCTTTATCTCTTACGTTGCCCGATAAACCTGTGTAAAATGAGTACAGGATGTTAGCGATGGAAATGACTGCAAAAAGGTTGAGGAAAGGGAAAATGAAGACTAAATTAATATTTGAGCCCAAGTTAATATTTGAGACTGGGAGTAGTAAATTTCAGGACTGTCCTTTGAGGTCTGTGCGTAATAAGTTGAGTGGCAGTAGGCAGCAATATCACTCCACGGTGCAGTTCAGAGATGCATGCATTGGACTTGGTGCAGCTATGAACCCCACGGAGGTGAAGTCAGCTTTGAAGCTGAGTGTTAGTACAGCTCTATCAGCTCTGGCGTTTAGTGTTTGTTCGGCCATGTGCCCGTGTAAAAGTATGGCGTACAGAAGTTTGCCCGTACAAAAGGAGATTCTTTAGTGCTACTTTCAAAAGCAGAACAGGATTTATGTGAGCAGGCAGCCTGATGATTTTGAGTGAGACTTGGGCCCTGGAAGTCTTAAATGATTTTTGGAAGTGGGGCGGGCTTGCTTGCTTACTTGAAAAATGCACCCGTGCATTGGAACCAGGATCAGGTTTACCTAAAAGAAACAAAACAGCCGAAAAGAATAACACTGGAGACATCTCAATTGGATACATGCTATTTAAGGATGTCTAGGGCATCCATATTTGAATGAATACTTTTAACTTGGTTTAGTGTTTGCATTTTAATTCTGAATCCAGTATTTCAAGTGGCTTAAGTTAGAATAATTCTGACAGAGGTATAGCAATCAGCAGTTACTGAGGATCCCATGGCAGAAATCTAGGCTGAGGCTTATTTAATCAAAAACTGAATGTCTGCACACTGGAGATGCATCTTCATTATTGTAACAATAAATGTGTATTTCTTATTTTTGCAGGCTGGAAGCCATTGGTAACAGTATCAAAGCTTCCTTCAGCATCGCAAAGCTGAGGGCTGAGCTCCAGAAAGGGCAGAAGCTGAAACATAACAGGGCGAACAAAAGGCAAAGCATTTGGGAAAGCCTGAAAGCATCCTAGTGGGAAGATCACCTGAATCTTTCCCCATCACACTTGCTGACACAGCGTCACCAAAACTCTCTCTTGACTTCTAACATTCCACGGCGGCAAAGGGCCTCTCTGTCCAAGTGTTTGCACAACAGAGCAAATTATTAAGGAAGTCCCGTCTTTGGACGTATAAAGGCAAAGAATTTCATCATTTTGGAATTCAGATGGATGGGTAGAGGGAGTGAAGGGGAATCCGCAGTAACACACATGAAAAGCCATCTTCCTGAAGGAGCATTTGAATATTGCTTCTGGAATGTTACCCATCAGTTGAGCAGCTTTCGGGGTCTACATCAAAAGTATCCTGCAAGGGAGACCTCACAGATGTGCTTAGAAAGGACAGAAAGCAAGATCTGAGTGGACAAACTTCAAAGCGAAAAACTCTACCTTTTGATTAAAATGCAAAAATGAAAGCCACAGCGCTACTTCAATCAGGACTTACTGCATATATACATGTCTACCTCGCGTACTGTTTGTTGCACTCCTGCTAGAGTATTTTTACACCTTGTTATTGCCTTTACTAATCAGCTGCAACCCTTTGCCTTTTTTCAGAAGTCTAGTTTACTTGTACAACCAGAGTTATCTCAATGTGGGTTAGACACTGTGGTTGTTTGCATAGTCAAAGTCCTTTGGTTTTGGATACCAAAGAACTCTTCAACATAAAATAAAAGTTAGAGGACACTATTAGGTTTCCCATAACAAGAATATTTGGCTAACTGAGGTCCTAATAATAGAGGTTGTTGTGTCTTAACATGCCACCGAAACCGCACTGAAGTGGGGATGCAGCAGGGGCTGTTGTGAGGTTTATTCGGTGCCTCATTTGGTGTAAATGCATCGAGACAAAGGGTTGTTTTGAATTATGTCCAAAGGCTAATATTGGGTGAATGTTTATAGCAGTGAATTTGTTCACATTGTTGAATTTGCTGACAGGTTGAATCTTCTGTGCTTATTTTTTGTGTTTTGTATTTATATTTACACAAGTTCTTCATTATATTTACCATGTTGAATACACATTGAAGTAGGCCATATTGGTCTATGCATGTTTTATGTATTTCTGTATGAAATTGGGAAATGCTTTATGCCCATCGAGGTAAATATATTCAGAAATAAATATTTTTAATTACTTTATTGACTTGTTGTTCATACACCCTGTTTTTTCATAGGCTGTGGCTCCAAGATCACGGAGGCAGATTGACCTAGATGAAGTGTGTGCCCGTGATTGCCTTTCTGTCAGATTAGCCAGATCACAACACAGAAAGGTTATGCCAGCTGTGAGACAACTGATAATACTTGTTCTAGCTTCAAGCTTGCTCATCAAAATTTCATGGTGAAATTTGAACTGGCCAAATGAATTTTTCCCAGAGCAGCACTCTCACATGGCTGATATCTTTTTAATCCAATAGTACAAATTCTAATGTTGGATTTACTGTACTATTAAACGATTGCCAGTAAAGGGTTGGGTATACATGAAGTAGAGGAGAAAATGCACACTGTGGATGCTTTGTGGGCTATATTGGACTAGGCTGTGTTATGTTACTTATTCATAGAATTGTTTAGGTTGGAAAAGACCCTCAAGATCACCAAGTCCAACCATTAACATAATGCTGCCATCCCACCACTAAACCATGTCCCTAAGCACCTCATCTACCCATCTTTTAAATACCTCCAGGGATGGGGACTCGACCACTTCCCTGGGCAGCCCATTCCAATGCTTGATAACCCTTTCATTGAAAATACTTTTCCTAATGTCTAACCTAAACCTGCCTCGGCACAACTTCATGTCATTTTCCTTCCTCCTATTGCCCGTTAGCAGGGAGAAGAGGCTGACCCCCACCGGGCTACACCCTCCCTTCAGGCAGTTGTAGAGAGCAATAAGGTCTCCCCTCAGCCTCCTTGTCTCCAGGCTGAACAACCCCAGTTCCCTCAGCCGCTCCTCATCAGACTCATGCTCCAGACCCCTCACCAGCTTTGTTGCTCTCTTTGTTTGTAGGTGGCTGGGCTAAAAGGTGCTGTGGGTGGACTTTAGTAGCCCAAGTTCCTGGCCAGCTGCTAAAGGGATTCTTGAGAGCCCATCCTAAAAATAAACCTGTTCCTTCTAGGGTTTACTCTGCTCATGCCTGGACTCGAAAGCTGGCTTTCAACCTCCTTTCCTCTCCCCTAAACTGACCCTGCTGCTTGCTCATGCTGCAGCTCTCTGTAGTGATGGGCACCCACTGGCCTTCTGGGGACGGCACGATCCCCAGAGCCATGCAAGGTAAAGTAAGAGCCCCGCATAGCACTGGTCCTGAGCAGCAATGCAAAGAGCACAAGGAGGGTGAGATGCCCTGATGCCAGGGGCTTGTAGGCTTTGGGAAGGGCGGGCGGACGCCTTTTTGGTTAAGCCATTTTGTGTTGCCCAGCCTGCTCCAGGGGCCTGTTTGTAGATGGTTGGTAGGGGCAGAAGGCGATGCACCCCTGACACTGCACCATTTACCTTCTGGCACAGGAGCATAAACTGCGGCTTATCCTCGTTTGCATTAATGAGCTGGACCAAAAACCAGAATTTAACAGTCTCACTGAATAAGCAAAAGGAACATGAAAAATTTTATCTTAAGGCTGTCTCACATAGAAGTACCAGGGTCTGTCCCAGAGGTTTGCTCCTTCTCAAAGTGAGCTCCATGGCAGAAAGAGCTTCAATAACTCAGGCCAGAACCCCTGGTGAAAAAAGAGTGGCATGGTATGTGCTGGGATTTATGGCACTGAACACCAAGCAGTGTAAAAGTACATTCTTACTTATAATAAATGACCTGAACGAGCAAATATTCTACCTGAAGCCAATGGAAACATTGTGCTGACTGCAGAGGCAAGGCTGCCGAGTCAGGGCTCTCATTCTTCTAACTAGAACTAATCTCACTTCTTCTCTTAAAAAGTAAAGCTTTCATGGCCATGCTCCATCTCCTTTTTAAGTGAGAGATTCTTCTAATCCAGGATGCAATTTGAGAAGGGCGAAGGGAAGCTTATAGGAGAAGAGGGCCACCCCTTTCCAGCGTGGCCATACTCCACTGGTCCCAAACCACACCTGACAGATGGCTGAAATTCCAGCTCAGATCAAGAGCAAGGAAAGGCCCCATTCCTTAGCCGTTACCAGATTGTACCTCCCTCCTCTGATTTTTCTTGTTTTTGGCATGGCCATTTCTGAAATCACAAAAAGATTCACAGGAAAAGACTATTCCTCTCCAAAATTAAGCTTGCTGTACTCATTTTTATTCAATGCTGTGTGTAATTCTTTCTTGCTCAGCTCATTTATTTTTATTTTCTCTGAATAAAGGCTGTTTTGACTATATATCAAAACAAGGTATACAATAAAACAAAGCTTTGACATGTGAGTCAGGCTTCAAGTCAGGAAAATACTACAATGCTACCAAAATTCTTTCCATCTTATCTACATAATTCTGAACTAATTTTTCCAGAAATGGCAACTCTAATCTGTACCATGTTATCATGAACGGCCCCAAAATAATTCATGCAGGATGTCCTAATGTTCCCTATAGAAGCTACCAAATACCAACCTCTTTGTTCATATTTCCTTACATTAGGATAAATTTAGCCACCACAACACACTTCTATATTTACAAACACAGAATGAGCTGGATAAAATACTGTTTGAACGCTATCTGATGTTTACTTTCTTCACACTCGACTGTTTGCCTCTGTGTATATAAAACCATATCAATTTTGACTTCGCCTGCATCACAGCACTATTATTAGGCTCCTCGGGTAGAAATCCAGCTTCCATGCTCAGCCGATATCTTTATTTAATTTACTGTTCTTCTTTCGTGACCTAGGAAACAAAAGGACGCAGTTTTTGATTAATTAGAGGAGAATGCTTGGAAGCTGCGATGGTGAGTGTAAGTATGTGAAGAGATGGAGCGCCACAGATAAAGTACAAAGATAGTGGCGGGATCGTTTTTCCTGGGGTAAACATCGTGCGAACAACATTTCAGAAACTTAGCTAGAATGGGTGTTCGTGTCTTTCTTTATTTTATATCTCTGATCAAATCTGAGCAAGGTGAAAAATGATAGGGAAGCCTATTTTGCTATTTCTCAATATGGTTAAACAATCAGCTGGTATGTCTTAGCCGTGCGCCTGGGACAAGTTCCTCTGCTCTGGTCAGGTCAAGGAGACCTGAATTCTGCCTGAAGTCCACCAGGTCAGCCGGTCAGCCAACAATTTCCTCAGCTTATGCCAGTGAAAACAAGAGCAGAATTTGACCCAGAAAGGCTTCGTTCTTTCTGGTATCGCCATGATGGGGGCAAACGGACACTGGTTTGCTGATGCTAGCACAGGACTCCAGCGGCTCTTGCTGCTCTTGGTCTGGGTTGGGTTTTTTTTTTTTCTTTGTTGCTTTTTTCTCCCCACAAGCATAAACTAGTAACAAATTAGATAAATATCACTTTGGTAAGTAATGGGGCAGTTTGCCTCTGGCTGAAGAAAGCTGTGTTCAGGAACGGATGAGCCCCGTGGAGTTTGCGGTTTCATTGACCTCTCCAACTATTTTGGGGGCTGCAGAAATTATTTGAGTCCACCAATTGTAATTCAAGCCCACACCGTTGTTGTGTTTTTCCCCCCAAGGAAATAAAAAAAAAAAGCCCAAACCAACCCTAAACCTAACTTTTTTCTAGCTAAAGGAAAAATGTATGTTATGTGCCTGTCACTAGAAAGAAATCCAACCTCTAGTCTGGCAAGAAGAAAGCAGCACTGTATTTTGGTCGTACATACTGGATTTACATTTTCCTCTGTTTTCTTAATCTCTTTTCACAGACACAATTCAGCCAAGCACTTGGTGAAGTGTCCATCATGAAAAATTAGCCAATGCCCTAAGGACTTCTAGTGCAAAGGTAGCCACATGCATTGAAAGTTTTGATGGGCCAGAGCTTTGCCTCTTGTCATCTTTCTTGTCTTCATTTCAGTCCTATTGTTGCAAGAGATCTGTTTT